GCTGGTAGTGGGACTGTTGTGTTTTCCTTCTGACAAACCACTTAGGTGTCCAGAGCATGGTGACCCCTGAATAAGTGTGATCATAAGAGAGCACTTTACCAGTTGTCTTCTGGGCCTAAGGAGAAACATGTGTATTTTTTTTACCCTCCCAGTTTCATTGAGGTGTAACTGGTGTGCAGGACCCTGCACATAGTTGGCACATACAGTTTGGGCATGTGCACATGCTGGTGTTCCCATCAGCACCCTCCAACAGCGTTCCCACACCTGGGTTCCTGGTGAAGTTGTTTCTTCCTGTTGCCTACATTTACCCCTACCTGAGTTACCTTCAATGAATCCATGACTGTCCTGGGAGGCAACCTGAGCTCTCCTTGGGTGAGGCGTTGGGTGTGCTCTGGTCCAGCCCACCTACTGTATCATCACTCTGTCTTCCCCCTTCTGAAGTGCTCTCTCCATCTTTCCTTTCCTCAACTTCTCCATCCTGTGGAGAGGTTGCCCTGTTATGGTTATCTACATGCCCTGCTTCTGAAAAACCAAGGTGCTTCTATGGGTCCTGCATATTTTCCAATAGAAGAGTGAGAAGCTTTGGCGTCATGAGTTTCTGCTTTTCCTATGTGTATGTGTGTGCATGTCTGAGTTCAGTTTTAAGTTCCCAGGGAAAGAAGTTACCATCTTCTGATGGCAACTGGAGTGTACATAAGTACCACTGAGACTCGCTGCTCAGACCAGTGGTTAGTTGGAGCATCTATGCCAAGTGTGATAGCATGCACTTAGTGTGTCCACCTTCAAGTTTACACAGGGCTCCAGAGGGCCTCCCAGTTTTGTAAGAATTCCAAGTATCAGTATTTAAAGTTGAGGTGTTTCACATAAAACCTGGAGAGATCTGACTTCTCTCAAAGGGAAATATAGTAACAATGGGCCACCGTCCTCCCTTGGCTGCCTTCGAGAAAGGCAAAGAGAGAACCAAGCTGGAACATCCAGGTAGGAGAAAGTTTGAAGAGCAGCCTTAATAGAGAGGGGAGGGAGCTAGGTTGGACTAGGAATGAAGAGTGGAATTGAGGATGTTAGGTGCAGGACAGACTGGTCTACAGGGCCTACAGGGCATACCAAAAAAAGTTAGCTGCAGAATGACCTGGCCTCTCAAACACTCTGTCTGGTTCTTTATCACCTGTTTGCTTCAAGTCCAAACACTCAAGCCCCCACTCAAGGCTAAACACTCAACCCCCCCTCAAGGTTTAACTTAACACTTAACTCCCCCATTGGGGCCAACAAGGCAGCTTGCAGACCCAGAGACCCCATTAGATTTGGGCTATTAAAAACTCCCTGTGCCTGTTCCTTCCCCCTATCATAAATTCATTCAGACTGAGGTGGGTAAAAATTCTAATCAAGCTTTTAACCAGATTCTCTTCAAAATTACAAAATCTTGGCTACTGATGATATCTCCAGTCAAGACCTATGCCGAATGGACTGACGTCAGCATGGATCTCTGGTGGCAAGAACCCTTCCTTGATACTGGTCTTCTCTGCCCTCCTGTGGGGGCTCCTTACTTCCCTACTCTCTTTCTCCCACACCGCCCCATTTCAGCAGGAACTAGCCAGAATGATACCCACTCTCATTTAATAACAAAGAGGGGGGACTGTTGGGAGTCGCCTCACCTCCAAAGACTAATTTCCCCATCCCCCAAGAAGAGTCGTCCAATGGTGAGCCCTGCTGGCTCACATGATCCTGCTGTCCAATGGTGAGCCTCGCTGGTTCACATGATCCTTTTGTCCAATGGTGAGCTCTGCTGGCTCACATAATCCTTACCCACCAATTAGAATGCACCCCAAGCCAGCCGCCAAAAAACCATTAAATTGTTAAACTGTTTTAACTGTCAAACCACCCCCAGCTCTATGAATATGCAGAGCTGCCTCAATAAACAGGCATTTTTCTCTGACAGCAAGCCTTGATTGTTCTTTCACCACTCACTCTGGGATCTCCTTGTAGTTCATTCTGTCTCACAGGTCTGAAGGTCAAAGTTAACCTGAGCATTGCACATGCCTATGCTAGATGTACTGCTTTTACTCGGACAGCTGCTGCTTATGCTGGGCTGCTGACTTCTGCACCTGGGCCACACATGGTCATTGCTGTGTACCACAGAGCACTGGTACTGCATGAAGTCATGGTTTAGCAGCTCATCTTTGGGAATCTCCAGGCTGCACTGGCTCCTTCAAGACTCCATGAAATATGGTGAATAAAATCTGTGTGAAAATCTGTGTGGAAAGGGGTTACATAATAACCCAAGTGTCATCACTGAAACCCAGGTCTTTCCAAGTGCTAGGGACAGGTTTTTCTGTTCATTAGGCTTGACCCCCTCTTGCCCCCACTCAGTGCCCCTCTGCAGATGCTCCAAGTGACCCATCCTGTTGGCTACTCTCCCAGTGAGTCTTCCTTCCTAGTGACAAGCTCCATGGCCAAGGGATGGTTGTGATGACACCATCAGATGTCACAATCATGAGAATTTGCTCTGGGTGTGTCTGTACTCTCCATACCCCAGCCTGCCTGGAGCTGAGGCCAAAGGACCACAGGATATGCCCTGTTCCAGGCCCCAGGCTCCCCCTAAAAGGGAAGAGATGGGGAAGGAGAGGAAAGAAGACAGAATTAGCAAGATTTAGCCTCAAAAATTGAGAGAAGGCTGGAGTCCAATGAGACACATGATACTATGTCCCTCATAGGCCACACCTCAATATTTCCTGAACCTTCCATATAAGACCCTCCCAGCCCCCAAGGATCATGCAAAAGCCTCAACAATTATAAGAAGTTACTAACAAGGAACTCATAATTTCCTTAGTAATTAATAAGTGTGGAGAAAGTTTTTCAGCCTTTTCCTGGGCTCCCCAGGCCTGCACTGTCCTTGCCTCTCCAGGTGAAGTGATAATTGTAGCCCTGAGGGGAAGTGAGGTCACAGGAGCACAGACCTTTATCTCAGGGCCCAGCTCCCTCCCTGCCTCCATGCTGGCTGTCAGGACCTCACACTGAGCCCAGCACTTTGCACACAAGAAGCATCATGAGTATTTTATGTTTTTGTCACAGAGGCAGCGTGTGTAAATGGGTAACTTTGAGAAAGTGCTCAGTTCTGGAAAGGATTTGGGGTTGAAACAGATTTAGTGCCAATAGAGATAAGGGAGAGGAACACTAGTTTGATGTGTGCTGTGTTAGTAAAGGAGTCATGTGGCTCAACTGTTGCCAATTGCTCTTGGCCCCCAATGTTATTTAATAATCCACTGAGGATATTTCTATGTGAATAATACAAGTGGCAGTGAATTCTGATTTGGAAGGGGCTTAAGGACACTTACTCTGCTCTTGACATTACTTTAGGCAGAGCTTAGGATACATTTTGACTGCTACGATGGCTGTGTGTGAAATGTCTTCATGTTCATAGTAAAGATGAGACTGAAACCATTAGGTTCACCTCACTTGGGGCTCTTCTGGAATAAAAGATGTTCTTTTCCAGCTCTACATTCCAATCACCTATGGGAGAGAGGAATCACGTCTCCTCTGAATGCCTGTGCTGTGGTGGCTGAGGTGAGACTCTCTTCCTGCTGTTCACAGAGAGAAGGTAACATTATAGTGATGAGAGATGGTCAGTGGTTGTCAGAACCAAATGAATCTGTGATTTCCCATGGCTTAATAATATCCCAACATTAATCACAAACCCATGACATTTTCCTGTGTTTTATTCAGCACTGAATTCACATACTCCAGCTTCTACTGACATACCTCTTATATTAAGTGTCTTCCAGAAATCCTGCTTCTTTACTGACAGTTTCACTAATGTAATTCTCAGGGAAGAGAAACTTTTAGCCTTAAATCAGTGAGGACTTCATTTCTACCCTGAACTACTTTCTCAGTTATTAGTACATCATATTTCATAGTTTATGAGCCAAGTAATATTTTTGAAGAGTTTCTTTATAGATTTCAGTATGTTTTTATTCCAGGAATGACAACAAATGGATATTTCTACTGTGGAACTGTTTAGAGGGGATTTTCTTCCATTCATTTATCTTAAAGAGTAAAAGCACAGCATTTTGTAACATCTATTTTAATTTCTCATAATTTTTCCTCCTCAATTGTTTTTAACATTTTATTAGTATATTATAGTTATGCATAATACTGGGGCTCATTCTGACATAATTATGCATGCTCAGCATCTAATTAGCTCCATTTAAGTCCTCACTGCTTTCCTGCCCCTCACCTCCTCCTTCTCCCTCTTCCCGTGTGGAATTCAAACTTGGGTCAGTCTTACATTCATTAAAAGTAGAGACAGGGCAATTTCTGTGGGTCTGCATGTGCATTTGTCAGTTTGGAATTGCTGGCACAGAGTTTTATATCTGATCCAGTAAGAGGAAACCACCAGTTTTGCCACCTTTGCACCAATTTTAAACCCATTGCCAGTTCATGAGATCCCTGGCCTATCTTCATACCTTCCCAATTGTGGTACTTACTACCATTTTATTTTAGATTCTGGTTAGCTTGTTCTTATACTGGGGAATGGCTTCAATAAAAACATTGAACTTTCTCCCCATGTTTACTATTCATTGAATTAAGCCTTTTTTTCTTAAGTATCTTTTGGTGAGGTTTGCCAATTTTTAATCTATTTGCAATTTGTAAGACTCTTAGAATTGGATACATCAAACTCACTCTCCCTGGCTATGTATGGCATCTAATAAAAGTTAATGCTCAATTTAATGTACCTTCTCATTTCAACAATATGTTTGATGTCTTTGTGCTTTTAAATGAACATTTTCTTACTTAAGACCTCATAAATATTCCTTTTGTTATTATAAAAGGTCCATTGCTTACTTTAAAGTTTAGCTCAGAAATTCTCTGAGAATTTGTTGTATGGAGGCAATGTTGATTGAAGTTCTTTTTCCAATGTGAATAGCAAATATCAGTTCATTCTGAAACATAAAATGCTCAATTCTTTCTATGACTTTGCTCTCACTTTTTATTGCTCCTCCCAGGTTAGCATCACCTGATCATCAAGGCTCAGTTTTCTGGAAAGCACACTGTCAATTCTCCCCAGTAACTTGTGCACCTTGAGGTCATCGAAATCCTGCAGGTGTATGCAATGAAAGCTGCTCTTGGTGTCAAAAGTTATTTTAAGAAGGGGATCTCATTTTGTTGCTCAGGCTGGCTCGAAATTCCTGTGCTGCAGTGATTCTCCTGCCTCAGCTTTGCAGTTAGCATTTGGATACAAGTGCTCACAATGGTGCTGGGCCCAGCTACTGTTAATGAGTCATTTTGCTCAGAGGAATGACTGTTGCCATAATGTAAAGGACGTTGTGCTGAATGAAAATATGACCTCCTGGAATGTGGCAATAGGACTGATGTTCTTATCACTGGTTGTTGGAATTCTGGGAAATTTATCTCTGTTTTATTATTATTTAGTCCGTACCTGCAATGACTGTACAGTAAGGTACACAGATATGATTCTCAAGCACCTGATGATAGCCAACTCCTTGGTCATTCTCTCTAAAGGGATTCCCCAGACAATCACAGCTTTTGGTTTGAAGAATTTCTTCAATGACCTTGGATGCAAACTTATTTTGCATATTCAGCGAGTGGGCAGGAGTGTGTCCATTGGCATCACCTGCCTCTTGAGCATCTTCCATAACATCACAATCAGCCCCATGGTGATGCTAAGGAATAGCTGGAAGAATCTCAAAGGAAGATCTTCCAAGTACATTGGCTTCTCCATTTCCCTCTGCTGGATCCTGTACATGGTGGTGAATCCCATTTTTTCTCTCTATATGCTCAGCAAATGAAGTAGTGAAAAGAAGACAGAGAAAAGAGATATTGGGTACTGTTCTTCTGCAGGTCGTGACAAAATAACAACTTGTTATATGCAGCCTTATTTGTATTTCCTGAGGTTGTCTTTTCCGTGCTCATGATCTGGCCCAGTGGCTCCATGGTTTTCCTTCTGAACAGGCACAAGCAGAGGGTTCAGCACATTCACAGCATCAAAGTTTCTCCAAGATCGTCCCCAGAGTCCAGAGCCACCCAGAGAATCCTTGTCCTGGTGGGCACCTTTGTGACTTTCCACACCCTCTCCTCCCTATTGAACGTTCATATTGGTCTATTTTCCATCCCCACAGGGTGGCTGGTGGACACCAATGACCTAATAGCAGTGTGTTTCCCCACCGTCAGCCCCTTTATTCTCATGAGCCGTGAGTCCACTGTACTCACTTTATCCAGGCTCTGTTTCATTCGCATAAAGAATACAAAATCCTGCTAGGTGCTGTGGCATGTGCATGAAACACAGGAAACTCAGGGAGCTGAGGCAGGAGCAACCCAACTTAAAGGCCAGCCTCAGCAAGTTAGTTAGATGTTGTCTCAGAAATGAAAAAGGAAAAGGGCTGGAGATGAAGCTCAGTGGCAAAGCACCCAGGGTTCAGTCCCCAGCATCAGAATACACCTCAAACGTTGCCCCATTGTATCATAAGTACATGATTGCATGTTTTCACATCATGTTCACTAGCCATCCTAGTTCCTGTTGGGCAAATGGAATGGATGAGTCCCCAGTCCTTCCAGGTCATTTGAATCAAGTGCTGTTCTCCTGGAAAGTTGGCCTGGAGCAAATCCAGTGGAGAAATGAGGGTGGACTTTGTGGGAGGATAATTCTCCTTAGCATCATCAGTAAGTTCATAACTCCCAGAAAAGTTATTTTCCAAATTGTCTTTTGTTTGATTCCTGTGAAAACAGAGCTTGTGAAGACAGATTTAGAATTAGCTACTGGAATAAAGGAGAGAACTGTTTACTACATGGTGAAATAAAGATAATATATCTGGTGCAAGGCAGGTTTGTTAGTAGTTCTCCTTAAAATAATTGTCTCCCTACATGCAGGGATCTTGTGATGTGATGCAAATTCCTTTCCTGTGCAGCGTCCACCTGGGCCACCCCACACAGCCAGACTGAAGTTGGTGGGAGCACAGTGCTCCTGCTGCCTGTGGTGCCACAGGAAGGAAGCCCTGGGTTCTATCTAGGAGGCACATGTCTTCTGCTGTCTTCTGCTGGGATCTGTTCAAGGGTTGCAGTGTAATCTCACTTTCACATTTTGTGAAAACACCCACAGCTGTCTTTCAAAACAGGAGGATAGATGGGCATGTCTTAACTATGCTTTTTAAAATAGCACTTACAACTCTCTAAATCAGAATATATTCATCTATTTGTGCTAGGTTGTAGTCTTAGGAGATTCGATTCCTCTATAAACAGTGCAGTTGCTGGTGCAGGCAGGGTTGTGAGAAGTGTCACAGCAGGTCCCACAGATGGAGACCTGCAAAGGGGAGGGGAAGATACAGGAGGCTTCCTGGGTGACAGCGTCCTGGAGGGACTTTGGTAAATAGCAATTATTATAGGAACATTTATTGATATACACTCCATGACCTAGTAACTCTGTCTCTGCCTGTCACCCATGTGATATCTTCTGAGAAGGCCACATGAGTCACTGAGGTGTTTCTGTTGAAAGTGGACTCTTTGGGGAATGTTTGAAAGAGCTTGAGTTTTAAGGCTTCGCTTATTTAAGGCAAAGTCTAATTTTATGGAAAAGGTGAGTTGGGTACAGAGGGGATTCTGATATGGCAAACCC